GTTTGAACTCTGGGCCTGGGCACTGTCCCTCAGCTCTTCAGCTCAAGGCTAGCGCTCTACCACTTGAGCCACAGCACCACTTCCGGCTTTTTTTGCTTATGTGGTGCTGAGGAATCAAACCCAGGGCCTCAACAAGGCAAGCACTCTACCACGGAGCCACCTTCCCAGCCACCGCCCGCCCCCCCAATCCATATTGTATTTTATATTGCAGCCCAAGGGAACATTTCTGTCTAGTGACTGCATGGTTTACATCTTAACTATAAAGTGTTGTTTGTCAGTGAGTGTTGAGTTCAAGCCCCATGACTAATAAAAAATAAAGTTTTTTTGGTTTTTTTGGTCGGTCGTGGGGCTTGAACTCTGGGCTTGGGCGCTGTCCCTGAGCTCTTCAGCTCAAGGCCAGCACTCTACCGCTTGAGCCACAGCACCACTTCCGTTTTCTAGTGGTTTATTGGAGATAAGTCTCACAGACTTTCCTGCCCTGGCTGGCTTTGAACCGTGATCCTCAGATCTCAACCTCCTGAGTAGCTACGATTACAGGCGTGAGCCACCGGCGCCTGGCTAAAAATAAAGTTTTGTTGACTAGGAACACCATACCAGTTGGAATTTGGACTTCTGATCTTCCTCCTGCATGATGTAAAGGCACCTAGACATAGCTTTGTGATGTTTGTGGTGATGTTTGCTGACAGTGACTAGGCATGTACGAATCTTTCCAGGAGGTCACTGAGTAACTTCTGTATTGCAAATAATGTAAGATAGACAAACACTCAACATAAAGTGACACATCCTGTGTATTGAATTGTGTACATTGACTACATGATAATCATTAGAAAATAATTGTAGTTGAAACAAAAAACAAATTTTGCAGAGGGTGCTCATATGAACCAAGTTAATATTGGAGTTACATTTATTGCAACTGAATAAATGCCACAATAGCATATTTGATTCTTCTGTATTAATTTTATTCCATATGATGTGAAAGGTTGTCAAACCAGATTGCAAGTAAGAACAGGTTTTTCAGTCTGTAAAAAGTTTTGCAGCTGGCATTTAACAATAAAATAAACATAGTCCAGGTTTATCACCATCCTGCTATGTGAAAACTACTGCTATTCATGCTGTGGAAGAGAATTAAAAGTAGCAGTCTTGCTGAATGGTAGTACATGTGTCTCATCCCAGCTGCTCAGGAAGTAAAGATCTAGAAGATCTTGATTGGAGGCCATCCCTGGCAAAATGTTTACAAGACCTCCATTTCAACAAAGGAAGATTCGTAATCCCAGCTGTGTGGGTAGATTACATAAGACTTCTGTCTAAGATGGGTAAAAAGTACAAGACCATATTTAAAATATAGCTAACACAAGGGAAATTAAAAAAAAAAAGTTGGGATATGATTAAAGTGGTAGAAAACTTGCCTAACAAGCCCAAGGATCTAAGTTCAAAAACTCAGTGCCACACACACAAAAAATTCTTCCTTAAATCTTTCTGTGTTCATGAAGAGTTAAACTCACTTAGGCATATTGCTTTAACTAAAGAGGAAAGAAGGGATATGCTACTGCAGATTCTTAACAGACTTATGGGCAATATGCACATTTGCTGGTCCTGATTCAAATAAACATGGACAAATCTGAAAATGAACAGGATATTATTTATAATAAGGACTTTTTATTTCTTGGTAAGATAATAGTATTAGTTTCTTATACTGTGGTTTTTTTTTTTAACTGTATATTTTTTTGTCTTTTCTTTTTTGGTACTGGGGATCAAACCCAGGATGTTGCACTTGCTAGGCAAGCGCTTTGCCACTGAGCAACATCCCAGCCTAGGTTCTTGTACTTTGGAGAAAACATGTCAAATTATTCACTAATAGGATGTTGAGTCTTTAGATTTGCTTCAAAATATCAAGAAGAGACATAGATTAAAAAAAAAAAAACCTTTGCTACAGGCTCATGAAGCTATGGAGAGGGAACATAGCCAATATATCTATCATTCTCTATTTTTGTGTGGGGGTAATTTTGTTTTTCATAAGTAGTTTAAGGCAGCTGTACACAAATTTGTGACACTAAGTTCTAAGTACAGAGTGGCTCTAAAGTTGATAGAACTTTTCTTTTTTTGGGGGGGGGGG